GCTAGAATGCATAGAGTTATTCAGAGCCAGGTATTCAGGGAATGGGAAGAGAAGGAAGGTATAGAGAGACGAGAAATTGAGTAATGAAGAAAGACAAAAAGGGAAAAAGAGGGAAGAGAAAAGAAAACAAAATTTTTAAAAAAATGAAGAAGAAAAGCCCCCCAAAAAACAGAAGAAAAAAAAACCCACTAAGAAAGAAATGCCCTCAGGGATCCCTTTGTATGTGCATAAGCTGACGGGGTAGGTCCCAAGCAGCGCAGCACCACCCAGCCAGAATGGGCTCCCAACTCAAGAAAAGGAAAAGAAAACAATCAATTCAAAACAAACACCAGCTTGGTAGCCCAGACCGGGAGGCAGTTCCACACTCAAATGGAGCTCTGCAGCCCCTCAGCAAGAAGCAAAGATGGCTCACGGAGCCAGGTATTTGAGCAAAAGGAGGGGGAGGTGGTAAGAGGTAAGGAAGAAATCAAAAGAAGCAGAAAAAAGCAACACCAGCAGCCAACAAATGGCACTCAAAGAGCCGGCCAGTGCGGATGGGTGGAATCCAAGCAGCCAGTGCTTCCCGGGCAAGAGACTGTGGCCAAGGGAAGCAGAGGAGGCCGAGTGGGGGTGAAGAAGGGTGGGGCGGTGGGAAAGCATATATCGCAAATTACTGTTGTTTTGTCTCCCGCTGGCAGCTCCGTGAAGCTGCTTTCTCATACCTCCTATTTTCTGGTCTCCGATAGGAGTCCAAGTTGGCGGATCCGCACTGCATTAGCTGATAGGGGACCTCTGCATGAATCTCTCCTTGCTCTGCGTTCTCTGTCAGTTTTCTCACTCCCTTTGGTGCTTGGCTGAGTTCTTTATCTCTTCATTTGAAGTTTTAGGGTTTCAGGATTGCTGTTTTCTCTGTTTGGCTTAGTTTTTTGGATCTTTGCTGTGGAGGGACAGTGTGGTGCTTCTGCCTAGAGCGCCATTTTATTGTTTTGTTTTGTTTTGATATGCCCAAATAGGCTGCTCTTGTGAGCTAGTTTGATTATTGGTGCCTTTGAAGCTCTAACATCCCGTCACCAGGTGGTTAAAGTTGTTAGTAGGTATGGGAGCCCAGTAGTCTGTTTATTTTTCTTTTATGAATTCAGCTCAGGTGTCTAGGTAGTCAGTCACCAAGTGTGTGGTGCATGCGCTCACCTACAGTCCTAGACAGGCATGGGTGATTGGTGTAAGCACAGGTATCTGGCTGCAGTAGGAGGTCATGTGCTGAGAAAGACAGGGGGCTGATAGCTGCCCCTGAGCATCTGGGAGGAAAGTGTGTCCCTGTTCCCTAGAGTTTGTAGGTGGGTGGATTTTGCAGTGGGACTATGGTCACCCAATGCTGTTGGCTGTAAGGACTGGGGGGCACCATTTATTCTTGGACCTGTGTTGCAGGTGGCTAGGTGGCGTGGGTGGAGCCACTAGTCTTCAGGGCCCTGATGTGGGTAGGTGAGGACCCCGCATAATGGGCAGAGCAGTGTCAAATGTCACAAACATGCTGCTTCATCATATAGTCGAAACACTTGAAGTTAGACTTCAGGGGTATACCCTGTTGTACCATGGTAATGAGGGCCTATGCTGTTGAAATGGACCCTCACAGGTCTATGGAGGGGTGAAAGGCATTCAAAGTCCATGGACCCCTTATGCCTGTACCTAGGCAAAGGAGCTGTGACAACCCTGAGTTCCTGGCTTAGGGGAGCCAACAGATTATTTTTCTCTGTTAATTTTTCCCTCTCCAAGGTTGGGAGAATGGTTTGGGGCACACAACAGGCTGTACTTCCGGCCCAGGGGACTCAGCAATTGCTGAAGCTGGCCCAGGACCTGGTGCAGAGTGGGGAGGGGGAGGTAAACGGGAGAGAGGTTTTTCCCAAATAAGGGTGTTTTTTGATCCTTGCGGTAAACCTGACACAAGTACTTATCTTTTGCCAAATGAGTGCTGCTTTTCACTGGTTCTGGATGCCCGAGTAGACTCTCTGCCACTGGGTCTCTCCCGATGTGGAAAACGTCTCCTGAGTGCCACTGCTTGCCTCACCATGCAAGTAAGCCAATCTAGTCTGAAGAGTGCCAGCTTCTGCTGGGTCAGGTCTGGCAAGTCCTCACTGCTTCTGAACTGTCTCTCCTTCTCCCTGCCACTCAGTCTGATTCCTCAACTTTGCCTTTAATGCTCAGGGATCCTAGATTGTCATATATAATTGATTCACTTGTTTTTTCAGGTCTTTGTCATAAGAAAGACCACAGGAAGAGTCTGACTACTCTGCCATCTTGGCCCTGCCTCCTAGATAGTTCTTAAAAAAGCAGACCTTTGCTACTAGTTAAGCTATTATGTGATTTTAAGATGATTTCAGGGGATATTTTTGGTTTAAGGTTTAAAGATTATTTCAGGGCAATAGTTTCAGGGGTTCATCCACCCTCCATGGCTTCAGAAAGTCTAGAGTCTATGAGAATTTGAAGTTCTATTCTACATTTTCCCCCTTTTGATCAGAATTCTTCTATGGAATCTTTGATCATTATGTTTAGTAATGGTAGCCCGGCACCATCCAGTTCTTCTGGTCACATGGTAAAGAGGTAGTCATTCATGGAGGCAATTAACCACACATTCCATATCCTCCTCCCATTCCTGACTCTCCTTCCTTCCCTGTTGCTCCAGGTGAATAGAAACCAATTGTTGTGCTTTGTCAGTATTGCTCTTGACATAATAGTAAAAGTCACTGGATTAGATAAGCTCTCAAATTTGGATTTCCAGCCTTGTGATTTGTAACAGTCAGGGTAGGTTAAATTATGTTGCTATAACAAATAGCACTAAAATGTTACTGACTTAATGGAACAAAAGTTTATTTCTCTCTTATGAAAAATATCTATGGACTTGGGCAGCTGTCTGGGGGAGTTCTCAACATATTGAATCAGCTTTCTAGACTGTTTTGATCATATGGTGCCTCCATATGAACATATCATTTCACAATTGCCATAGCAAGGGAAGAATGAGTATGAAGCTAGTCTTAAATTTGCAGCATTTATTGCAGTTGTGCTTTCTCAAGTGTTGGCATAGATTCTTAAACTACTGATATTGTTCACCTTAATTTATTTCTATGTGTTTGCATGTGGATTTTTGTTGTTTATGTGGGTAATGTACTAGCTCTTAAATGCTTTAGCCTAGAAGTGATACTTTCACTCATATTTTATTGGTCAAATCAAGATGGCATTTTTTTTTGTTTTTTGGTTTTGAGTGCCTAATAGGAGAGGATACCCAGAAATATTGTTGATCATCAGTAATATGCAGAGATGCATTGTTGAGGAAATATAATTAAACACAAAATCTCCTGCCAACTCAGAAAACCTCTCCACAAAAGTAAAAGAGAAAGAAAGCATGTATTATTATTATTGAATACATATTAAACCAGAATGTGATGCATCACAGGCAATCCACTGAAGAGATTGCAAAGACAGAAAGAAATCTGTCTTTTCATAGCTAAATAAATGCAATCCATTTCATATACATTCTCAAGATAAATGATAACTAGTCCTCAAGTAAAAGGCTTGAGAGCATCATTTGTCACACATACAACCACAACAAACCTGTTGCCATCGAGTCCATTCTGATTCATAGTGATCCCATAGGACAGAGTAGAACCACCCCATAGAGTTTCCAAGGAGAGGATGATGGATTTGAACTGCTGACCTTTTGGTTAGCAGTCAAACACTTAACCACTGTGCAACCAGGGCACAGTTCATCCTAAATTCACCTAGTATTTGGGGGTAGCCATCAGTGTTTTCTAATTGCTTTTATCTGAAAGAAAAATAAATTTCTTTTATCTTTATGACAGGAGATAGTTTTGCAACCTAGAGCAAGATGCCAGCCAAAGTTAGTCTGCTACATTCCCACAGAAATTGGGAAACAAGGGACCTGTTTACATTTCAAAGAGATGGCCTGCAGGTCCTTGAGGAAACATTCCTGGGTTGTAAAAATTTATATTCATTTCAAAAGAGGCAGAGAAAGAATTTACAAGTCTTATAAAGTAAATACTCTAAGAAAAGGGAGGAAGAGTCTCCCTTTGCACCAAGGAAAACTATTATTATTTTTCTTTTTCTATTTGTATTTACTCTTACAGTATAGAACATCAAAATCTATGTGAATGGCCGTATAACCTGCTAGGTAAGAATATGGGCTCAGAGTCAGAGTTCTGGGTTTGAATTCTGATTTTGCCACTGGGTCTCTCTGCAATTTTGAGGAATTTTTCTTTTCTTTCTTTCCCTCAAATTGAGGCCTCCATTTCCTCATCTCTAAAATGGGTATAGGAATCCATGAGTGGTGCAAACAGTTAATGTGCTCTGGTGCTAACCAAAAGGTTGGAGGTTAGACTACCCAAAGGTGCCTTGGAAGAAAGGCCTGTCAATCTATTTCAAAAACATTAGCCATTGAAAACCCTATGGAGCACAGTTTTATTCTGACACACATGGGGCTGCCATGAGTCGAAGTTGACTTGACAGCAACTGTTAAAATGGGGACAGAAAGTTTTCATATTGGGAAGATTATATAATATATAGAGTACTTAGCATAGGCTTAATGGATGATAAACACTAAAAAACAGTTATTTCTATTATATGTATTTTAATCATACTTTATTCAGTTAAAAAAAACTGTTGGTGATATATACACATAAACAACAAATATCCACATGCAAACACACAGAAATAAATTAAGGTGAACAATGTCAATAGTTTAAGAATCTATGCCAACACTTGAGAGAGCAAAACTATAGTAAATACTTCAAATTAAATTTAGAACTCAATAGAGTGGAAGTAAGAAAGACGACAGAAGGATCACAAAGAAATGAAAAGGCAATTTCAGAATTTCTCTTGGCATGATAGCAAAAGTCATTGGACATAATTTTTGGGCAGAAGATAGGGCAGATATACTATCAAAGAAATTATGGATATTAGTTGTTAAAAAGTGTGTAAAAATTGTGAGAGAGCAAAGTCATATATCTACCAGGATCAAGTAAGAGAATAAGATTATTTAAGAGATCCAAGAGTTGGGATTTGATCCAACTTCAGAATGAAAAATGTTTTGCCATTGGTACCCACAAATCTTCTTAATTCTGGGGCCAATGGATCCATCACAGACAAGAGGCCACCCTGCTGAGAAACATTCCCAGGGCCCCCTTGACATCCTAGTTCCTTAGACTGTAGATGAAGGGGTTCAGCATAGGAGGGACCACGGTGTACATCTCCGAGGCTATTGAGACCTTCTGGGGGGAGTGAGTCACTGCAGAGATAAAGTGGACCCCAACATCTGCCCCATAAAATAAAGAAACAACTGAGAGGTGAGACACACAGGTGGAAAATGCTTTTTGTTTTCCCCTAGATGAAGATACCTTCCTTATAGATGAAACTATTCGTGAGTAAGAGAAAAGGATCCCAATGAGGGGGAAAATCCCCAACACACCAGTCAGAAAATACATCAATGTACTGTTCAGGAAGGTATCAGAACAGGCTACCTCTAGAATTTTTATCAGTTCGCAGAAGAAATGTGGGATTTCAAGATCTTTACAGAAGGCCAGGTGCATCATCAACAAAATATGGAGAAGGGATAGCATGACACAAACGAACCAGGTAGTAAAAACCATCGGCTACAGACACGGGGATTCATGATGACCATGTAGCACAGGGGCTGACAGATGGCCACAAACTGGTCATAGGCCATCACGGTCAGGAGTAGAGTGTCCAGAATAGGAAAAAGCATGGAAAAATAGACCTGAGTGAAGCAGTCCATGTAGGAAATGGCTTTCTTCTCTGTCTGGATGTTCACCAGCATCTTAGGGACTATGGTGCTACTGAAACAGATGTCAACCAAGGATAGATTGGAGAGGAAGAAGTACATGGGGGTGTGGAGGTGGGGGTCAGAGCTGACCGCTAGGATGATGAACAGGTTTCCCACCACGGTGACCAAGTACATGGTCAGGAAAAGCCCAAATATGAAGGGCTGCAGTTCCAGATCCTCAGAGAGTCCAAGGAGGATGAACTCTACAACTCTTGTTTGGTTTTCACTTTCCATGTAGCTGATGTATATACGAGGGAAGAGATGAGAAGAACATCAATTAACAGCAAGCAGGCATCTTCTACATACTATTAATGTTGACCATGATTTTCACTCAAGTTATTTATAGAGTTAGTCACTTTGTCTTACAAATTTCATGGAACCCTAGAAAATGAGGTCTCTAATCCCAGCTATTTTTCTTAAACATTGATTTTATAACAACTCTGTCAGATGGTCATGGAGCTTCAGTAAGGGGACAAATCAACATCACGTGCCTATTTACAGGATGCACTGAAAAGGACACAACATCACTTCTGTGGGATTCCTGCCCAAAATACGTGACCTCAATCTAAAGATTAGGGAACACCAGACAAACCCAAACTGAGGGATAGTCTACACAGTACTGGACCCATACCCTTCAAAATGTCAATGCCATAAAAGACAAAGAACTTCTAGGAACTGTTCCAGATGAAAGGAGGTGAAAGAGATATGTCAACGAAATGTAGTGCACAATCTGGGATTTTCTTTTGCTAAAAATGCAACTATTGGGATAATTGTTGCAATATGAATGAGCTCTGTTGACTTGATAATAGTATTATATCCATGCTAATTTCCACATTTTTATCATTGTACTGTGGTTACATAAGACGATGTCATTGCTTTTAGGAAACACTGAAGATTTACAGGTAAAGGGTCACCGTATCTGAAATGCAACTTACTCTCAAACATTCAGAAAGAGAGAGAGAAAAGGAGGAAGAGGAAGAAGAGGAGGAGGAGAAGAAAGAGGAAGAGGAGAAGGGAGGGGGAGGAGGGAAAAAAGAGAGAAAAGGGGGTAAATGTGATAAAATGTTGGCGTTTGAGGACTGTTTGTGCTGTTCTTGCAACTTTTCTGTAAATCTGAGATTGTGTCAAAATAAAAGGTTAAAAAGTAGAACTGTCACACAATTCCAAATAGTACAGGGTAGAAAAAAAATCCGTCCAAGAGATGGTATCAGAAAAGAATCAGGCTTCAAAGAATACTGCAGCTGAGATGATGTAGTGAGTTGAGGGAATTGGGTTAGGAGGGCTAACCCAGGAAAAAGACATGACTCTGAGGTAGCTTTGCACACAGCAAGCTGTTGTGGCCAAAGCATTGACAACCACATGCAGGGGATGGTCCCCCACAGCAGGAGGTCTACCAGAGGAAAACGGTGCAGAGAGCTACCAGAAGGGAAGAGGGCATGAGAACCCCTGGAGAAGAGAAGAGGGGGAGGGAAGCTTACATGTCCTTTCACAGATGTTCTTTTGTAGCAAGGTGAGGAGTCTCTGGGTCAGGGAGCTCAGAAGACAACACCACCTTAGGGTCCTTACAACTACAAGGTTTTATCTTATCTATAAGATGTTGTGTGCAGTTTTGTGAGATATATAAAACAGGCAGAGTCTAAGTGGCTAAAAATCTGCTTTTTTTAAACAATTGGATTTGTACAAATGTGAGTTTGGCACTAGAAAGTTTTGGGAGGCTAACAGGCCTGTTTGCTATGAAGAAGTAAATAACTTGGGGCCAATACCTAAAGGCCATTTTCGACTCATTTATATAACAGGTGGAGTCCCTGGGTGGTGCAAACAGTTAATGGTTCAGCTGCTAATCAAAAGGTTGGAGGTTCAAGTCCATCCAGAGCCACCTTGGGAATTCTTCCATATTTTCATATCATCTCAAACATGCAGTGTATGGCTGGTGTTATTTCTTCCTTAAGTATTTGGAAAAATCACTGTGAAGTCACATGGATCTGACGTTTACTTTGTGACAGGTTTTAAATTACGATTCAATGTTTAAAATGGATATCCCATTGCTGTCAAGCCAATTCTGAGCCATAGTGACCCTATAGGACAGAGTAGAACTGCCCCCAGAGTTTCCAAGGAGCAGCTGGTGGATTTGAACTGCTGACCTTTTGGTTAGCAGCAGTAGCTCTTAACCACTGCACCACCAGAGGTCCTTCTTAAAATGAATATAGGACTATTCAAATCTTTTATTCATTCTTGGGTCAGTTTTAGTAAGTTCTAATTTGTTCATTTCATTAAATTTCCAAATTTATTGGTATAAGGATGTCCATATTTTTAATGCTTTTTGTGATCATCTCACCAAGAATTTATCAAATTTATCAGTCTTTTAAGAGAACCATCTTTTGTCTTTATTGATCTGTTGTATTATATTTTGTTTTCTAGTTCATTAATCTCTCCTTTAAACATGATTTTTTTTTCTTTTGCTTCTTTGGGTCTAATGTACTATTCTTTTTCTCATTTCTCGAGATATATATATATAGCTCATTGATTTTCAACCTTTCTTATTTTCTAAAATATGCATTTAAGGCTGATAAATTTCCTCTTTACATCATTTTTATAAACTTTTATTAAATAGGTTTAAAAAATTAATGGTATCTTACTGAAAAAAGTAAATTTGAAATTGAAAATAAATATTTTCAGGCTATATGACAAAAAAGTTACTATTTCTAATATACACAGAGTCCTAATTAAAACCAGTAATAAAATGAGAACACCAATATAAGACAGCAAAATATTCTCAAAAAAAGAGATTAACATGGTCAGATAACTTATGATAAATTGTTCATTCTTACTAATAATCATAGAAATTGAAGTTAAACATAGATATGTCATTTTCAACTACTGCAAATAGAAATTCTGTTTTAAAATACAGTGAAACCTGTGGGAGCCAGAACTCGACAGAACTTCCTTGTTTTTCTGGGTCTTGCTAGTTTTCCGCCTTTGACCAAGTACAGTCTTCCACTTTTCTGTCCCTTGTTTTAGTGGAAAATATTTGAGTTTTCTTTCTCTGGAAGACTTCTGTCTTACATAGTTGCCAGTGTTTGCAGGTTTTACTGTAATAATCCTAGTTTTGTCAAGGGAGGATTGAAATAACTATCTCATATGCTGTTGAAGAAAAAGGGAATAATAAAGTATAAATTATTAATCACAAAAAGAAAGAACTGAGCCATAAAGGCAAGAGTACATTTCTGGAATTAAGGTCAATCAAACACACAAATATCTGGTAAGGTCAATCAAGATGGAAGGAAGGAAAGAATGAAGGAAGGGCAAGCAAATACACTCATAGAAAATGAGAAAAGAACCCCCATGACACATAAAGGAAATGTTACAAATTAGTGGAGACTATTATATACAAATGAGTGCTAAAATTTAAAGCTCATGGAAATGGACATTTTTCAGGGAACTACATACTCTATCTAACTCAAGAGGACAGAATATTGATCAAAGAGAAGAAATTAAGTTGACAAAGAATTATCACCAAAATTTACAGCATTACCCTGCTTAAAACCCTCATTAAACCTTTTCCTCCTCTGTCGGGATAAAGAACACGACTCACCATGGTCCACAAGGGTCCGTACACATTTACTGCCAACCTCCCTGCCCTTATCAAGCACCACACTAGGCTTTCACTTTCTAAGTGGCAACACTCTGGTGTTCTTTACAAGTTACCAGTTGCTGTCAAGTCAATTTTGACTACTGGGAACCCCAGGTGTGTCAGAGTAGAACTGTGCTCCATAGGATCGCCAATGACTGTGATCTTTTGGAAGTAGGTCACCAGGCCTTTCTTCCGAGGCACCTCAACCTCCAACCTTTTGGTTAGCAGTCAAGAGTGCTACCTGTTTACACCACCTAAGGACTCTGTTGCCTTCTTACCCAAAATCTATTGCTGTCAATTCCAACTCATAGCAACCCTATAGGACGGCGTAAAACTACCCTATACGGTTTCCAAGGAGTGGCTGGTGGATTCAAACTGCCAACTTTTTGGTCAGCAGCCAAGTTCATAACCACTGTGCCATCAGGGCTCCATAGTTGCCTTCTTAGGAGTCCTAAAAACACTATGATTCCTCCCCCAACCATGCCTGTGCAAGTACAACAGCCTTCTCTGCAGCGTGCTCCCCATGCCTTTGTTTTCCAGTGCTAATTCCCATGGCTCTCAGATCAAACATCACCTCTTCAGAGAAGCCTTCCCTGAGCCCTCCCTGCCTACTAACTGCCATCCCCGTAGTCATAGAACCCTATATTTTTCTTTCATAGGACCCTATATTTTTCTCCATTGCCCAAATCATAGTTATATTTTTGCATTTGCTTATGAAATTATTTGATTAATATCTGTCCCCCTTACCACCAAATCAGACACGAAAGTTCAGAGATCACACTTTTAAAATTTTTACTTCTCCTGGTATCCCAGTGCTTTTTACTCAAAGAGCACAGAAAGATGAATGATGACTGAACCAAAAATGATCATATATAAGACAAAAGGAGAAATCTACAAGCTAATCTCACATTGACCGTAGATACAAAAACCTGAAAAAAGGTGTAAAATGAAGTTATCTGTTTGATAAAATAGCCTATTTCATTACCAATTAATGCTCATCTTTATTTTTTAATTGTAATTTAGATTAAGGTTTACAGAACAAACTAGTTTCTCATTAAACAATTAGTACACATATTGTTTTGTGACATTGGTTACCAACCCCATGACAAGTTGACACTCTCCCTTCTTTACCTGGGGTTCCCTATTACCAGCTTTCGTGTCCCCTCCTGCCTTCTAGTTCTTGCTGCTGGGCTGGTGTGCCCCTTTAGTCTTGTTTTGTCCTATGGGTCTGTCTAATCTTTGGCTGAAAGATGAACCTCAGGAGTGACTTCATTACTGAGCTAAAAGGGTGTCCAGGGCCATACTCTTGGAGTTTCTTCAGTCTCTGTCAGGCCAGTAAGTCTGGTCTTTTTTGGTGAGTTAGAATTTTGTTCTACATTTTTCTCCAGCTCGTCTGGAACCCTCTATTGTGATCCCTGTCAGAGCAGTCAGTGGTGGTAGCTGGGCACCATCTAGTTGTGCTGGACTCAATCTGGTGGAGGCTGTGGTAGTTGTGGTGCATTAGTTCTTTGGACTAATCTTTCCCTTATGTCTTTGGTTTTCTTCATTCTTCCTTGCTCCAGACAGGGTGAGACCAGTGGAGTATCTTAGATGGCTGCTCACAAGTTTTTAAGACGCCAGACACTACTCATCAAAGTAGAATGTAGACTATTTTCTTTATAAACTATGTTATGCCAGTTGAGCA